AGAGGCGACTGTTTATGGGTATCCAATCAAGCAGAGACGCTTCCGCTCGCACGCTCAATACAATCCCCACCCCAGCATATCCATCTGCAGCGGTCTCTACATCACCAGAGGTGGGCAGCCGGAACCTGGAGGAGAGCGACGGGGCAGTCAGTTCGATCACAGTACTTGCGTCCTGTGTCCTTGTTTCTGACAAACAACATACATCAATACAGAGGGAATCCAGCGTACGCGCAAGAGCCACCTGTTGGTCTGCTTGCTTCAGTGTGCGAACATTGAAGGTGGCTAAATAGACAGGCTTTCGGGGTTTGAAGACAGACTTCGAAGTTGGTAATGTTTTGGAATTCGAACTGTTTTGGACTTCGAAGTGTTTAGGGTTGTAACTGAACTCGGACGTGCAGAAGCTGCAGCTGAGTGTGATGCAGGGCGAGCAACACGGTCAGTCCTAGAGATGGGACCTGCGGAGAAAGTATTCGAATTTGGGTGGGGGAGGGTGAAAGAAGGAAAAAGTGAAAGTGTAAGAAGGGAAGCGTCAGCAGTAGCATCTTTTTGCTTACCCACCCAGCAAGTAAGGCGACCCGGGTGATGTCACCACGCGACGGCCGATGTGGCAAGAGTCTATCTGTGTATGTGCAGTCCATGGTTGTACGTGGGCTGGGATACTGCCAGGGCGCCAACACTTTGATAGGAGTTCCAGCCACGGACCAACATAACACATCAGCTAAGTGATAACACAACATTTTGGCGTTCAATACAAAAAGTTCTTTGTAGTCCTGGATTTCCGGGGGTGTGAGAGCTCTCCAAAAGCTTCTGCAATCAAAGTGGCGTCCAACACAGGTACTCACTCTCTCCACTCTTATTAAACTTCGTGATCGACGAGAAAATGAGATCAACCCCGGAAGGTCCTCAAAACGCTGGTGTTTAAATAATCGCTCACGAAAACCTTGTTGATATGGAATATGCAAACATCGATCTCTCGGAGAAAGTAGGAAGAAAGTTGCATTTGGATGAATTGGCAAAAGTCATCCCGTTCTTTAACATAGGCTTAGCATCCACAAAATGTGAGGTCATGCTTCTGGACATGCAGTCACTGAACATGCTAATTACACACCAAGGAGAGGTGCTGGAAGCTGTGAAGACTGCTATGTATATCGTAAATTACATTAGTTCCGATGACAGTTTGACAGGTAAGGCCAATGCACGAATCTCTAAAGCTTAGGTTGCATTTTTCTGATTTGAGACGACTAAATATTCAACAAAGCGCCAAATCCCTGAACCTCAAAGGACGTGTGTATCAGGCTATTGTTTTTGTTGTTGTCCGGCTGTGAAACTTGGTCTGTTAGAGCAGCAGAACTGAGACGTCTTCAGGTCTTCGACAATCGTTGTCTCGTGTAAGTTGGTGTCGGAAAATCCGTAACGCGGCGATTAGGAAGCGAGTGTTCTATTGTGCAACGGGAACCACAATCCATAATAATGCACCTGAAACTGCTCTAGTTAGGCCATGCATTGCGCATGCCAAATCATCGTTTATTGATGAGAGTGCTGATATTCGTGCCCGATTCAGTGGCGGAAGCAGATCTTGATTTGGCACAGGGGTATGAAAAAGACTACGAAAAGTCTGGGTGCTGTCAGTGACAGTGAAGACGGCGCATGATATAGCTACTGATCGATGGGGTTCTTGTTGTCAGTATCTATGCAGAATAACTGAATGGGCGTACGGAGATGCAGACACCTGGGAATTAATGTAGTAGTCCCTTCTTAGTCCATTTTTTTACGATTTTCACAAGGAAAAGTACAAGTGTTGAACACTGTTATTGTGATGTCAATGATGATGTTGTTCTTTTCTTTCGCCTGAGCGCGCAACACCGAAATTGGCAACTCAGTGATTCAATAGCAGTTACTCGCCGGTTTATCGCTTTGTGATAATTCCTGAGCTACGTCACAGCACATGTTGGCACAAGTCATCTGGTGCTTCATTAATTCGCTTACTTCGTCGTACTGCTATTGTGAAAAACACCCGTTCGTTTGCCACCAGGATGAATGACGTTACCTTAAGTGAAGGAAACATTTGGTCCGGCTAAAGCGGTCCCAAATGGGGTCACTTGTGCCTTGACCAACGTCAGAATAAAACCGTGTGCTTGTCTATATGCACGAGAATAGGGATAGGCTTCGTTCGCATCAAGCTAGCTAAACTCGCTGGTGGGATACGACTGGGTTTATGAATTGTGTGACGCAAATATCTCCGTGGCATACGGTGACCTACATAGCATATCACGGAGCCGAAATCAGACCAACTGAAGCAAATGAGGCAGCATACTGCTAACCATTAGTTCAAAAGAATGGCACACTCCACTTCTCCAAAACGTTCGTGGACAGCTCGGTTTCTCACCATGATATGCATGCGTAAATTATTGATTCGTTAGTTTACCAAAGAGGAGGTGCATGGACAAGGGTTGTTATTCATCTACAATCCATGGAACCATCAACAACGCATTCGGAAGACCTCTATGAAGGTCCGGTGTCTGAATACCGACTCCCGAGCTACCAAGTACTCTGCTACTACTACAACAGCCTATACAGGTTCGCACACATTACACTTATTTGGCGAATAGAGGAAACATCAGGTACATCGATGCGTGTCAACTGCGGCCAACCCAGTCTTCAAGTCAACGAACTACTTAAGATACACAGGAAACATTTCCTCTCGGCGACCGTTGTCATAACAAGATGAGAATCTCTCGGTGTCCATGAACCCGATAATCCTAGACTAACAAACAGTGAAGACGATCAAGAGAACCTGACTGTTAGCACGCTCTCAAATCAATGACTCCAAGATATTGGATATCGTCCCTTAAACGAGAATAGACTGACTGTTTAAAGGATCAACAAACCATTGCCAAGGCTAGACAGGAGAATTCGAGATGCGGAAATCGGGTTCAGACCACGGACCTTCCGGTCAGCGATTTCGCAATCTAATCACTGAGCCACCCCGCCCGGTAGCTGTGTACGAAAATGCACGACGGCTGAACAACCTGATATGACTGAAGACGGATAGCGGCTAAGCAATTTTACAGAAAAGACAAGTTTTTACAGCTGTTCAAACATAAACAGACTTTGGGGTTGACTGCTAGGTTGAGCAACGAAATGATATCTCGATGGAAAATAGAGTCCACGCCTGGCCTGTGCTGTACCCTTGCTTAAGTCTGAGCAGACTGGCAGGTAGTACGACAACTACGCGACTACTGGGTAGTTCATTTTCTGTACATCGATTAACTCACCTGTCGTACACCGACAGACATAACATCCCACATCTTTTTCACGTTCCAAAAGAAAGGTGTTCCACAGATTTGGCAAACATCACTTTCAGACCAAGACGGGGCTTCAACTCGGGAAGGATCCATCAGCCAAAAGATCACGAGACCATCTAGACCACCAGAGACGGCCAGTCCTCTGTGTTGGGCTGCAGCCTGCGAGTTCCCAGTGGGCCACCAACTGACACAAGTGGCGTCTTTTGAATGCCCCTGTAATATAATGGAGATGCAATTAGAATGTACTGTTTAAGGACTTTGCGACTAAAGTAAACAGTTCCCAAAAAGAGACTTGAATTCTATATAGTAATTATGAAACGACTGCAGTAAAACAGCAACAATCATATAAGGGTGAGTAAGCTTTCCATCCCACCGTAATTATGATGGGATTAGCAGCAATATCTATCCAATTTAATCACATTCAGTTGCAGGCAGAGTGAACACAACTGTGGCACAGAAACGAAATCGTCCGATAAAACTGCAAGTTCCTGCTGCTACAGTGTATTTCACAGACGACGCAGCTACTCTACCATATAGGGCTTTATTGTGGTGTCAAATTGTGGCTTTAGACACAGGCCGGAAAGGGAGTGTGTTATGACGGTCGGTGCCATGTTGAATGACAACCTCCTAAAGGTAGAGAGCAACACACCTATTGGTAACAAGAATTTTATTTTTCAACAAGCCCACCTGCCCGAGACTAGTGCAGGATTTTGCATGCCATAGACATACCATGGACTTTGTGGTCCATAGGGTGGCAAGTTTAAATATGCGGCCAACTCGTAACAAATATAAAAGTCAGAAAAATATTTGCAAATATCGGTGGAAGGGTAGGACTTGTGTGTGATGCACACATACAGACTTGTTTTCAGTAACAAGCCGGGTCAATAGCTTAGTTCACGTGACCTATACGAGCGACACGTCTAATGATTTTGTTTATCTCTGCGCACGGCCTGCTTTGTGATCGTCAGTCGTCATATTCGTGCAGAGACCATATGAGTCGGCTGCAAAGCAGCACTAACAGATATCGGTTGAGCGGAAATTAAACACGAGAAAACCGAATGTTAATGATGTATACTAAAGATTGGCGTGATCAGCCAAGTTGCAACCTTGCAGACCGCAATCGTATATACGTAGAAGACGACAGTAGTTTAGTGGATAAGGAAAACATATGTAGTCGTGCAAACCCCTTTGGCCTAGTAGTTGTGTGCAGCGTTGCCGAATTTGAGACCATCAGAACCATAAGACAAAAGGCCACATAATCTGTCTGTTGTGTAGTTAGGGTTTCCTTAATCGGAATGAGGTTGATATAAATATCTAAATACACGGCCTAAAACTTGAATTCCCCAGGGCGAACTGAGTTGGAGGGTGACGGTTACATGGGAATCTCATAGGCTCAGTAGTCGTCTGAAGATATATTAAGGTAAGACTATCAACTGATTACAGTGGGTCACACAGGATGCATCGTCAATACTACTTCCCCTGTGAGTTATGCAGTACACTTTAGCGATACTGGCCCGATGTCCCCGTTAGACCTGTAACGCTTCTGCTTAATTACTCCTCTAATCAATTTCCCACGGATACCTACTATCCCCATTCCATTTCGTCTGTCTCACAATCAC